CAAACTCTTATCCAACACAGACACAGGTAATAGCTGTGTTTCCTGTCAAACTCATAATAAATGTGACAAAGTAATGACTGTCTTCTAGGGCAAGGCCACAGGCTCTTCTAAAGGGTGGATGTATTAGCTAAGAAATGAAGACCATACAGGAGCCTGAGGGTCTTGCTCCTGTTTCTGCCGTAGACCTTCAGGGTGCAAGAATCAAATAAAACATGAATTCTAAAAAAACTGTACCCAATCTTACCTTTAATAGGCTTTCTTAGGAAAAGAAAAGGCCCGGAGGAACCATGATCATTCTCGGCATGTTGCTTTGTGCAAGACCCAAGGAAAGCTAGGAGGCTGTACAGTTATCTCCCTTGATGTAATTCTGAACTATACAACCTACTACCTCAACCTGGGAGCATGCAGTCACAATGGCTGGAAAGCTACCATTTCTTAAGCAATGAAATTACAAGTTAGTCTTATAATTGTTCCTCATGCTGTCACTTATTTGGGCCATTCATAAGAGACAGCACATCAAAGGGTCCGACAGTAAAGAAAATAACACGAGAACCTTGGCATGAGATTACTGTGCAGACTGGAAAGAAGGAAAAACTTGGGATCGGTCTTCTAGAAATTATTTGTCTATGAAAATTATGGTAAGGTTATATAATGGCTGTCGTTCTGATCAATCTAATGTCCTCTGGTACCTGTTAACAGAACAATGAAAGCAGACCAATATTTAAACTCGAGAAGCTGAAGAAAGAATTAGGAAGACAAATGTTTCCCTTGTGAACCTGGAAAACTGGAATCTCTAAAGGGTTGGTGAACAAGAGGAAATAGTTTAAGCCAAAACATGGTGAAAAGGTATAGGAAACAGGATTATGAACAAATTAGAGATAAACAAATAATATAGAAGTTACGGTGAACATTCACTCAACAGTATCCATCATGTACATCACGTAATTCACATATTTATAAAGCGCCCATTTTCCAGAGGTGACTGCTTCAGCACTTTTTTCACAAAGTCTATCCCTGTTTATTTAGCAATGTATAGAAATGTGACTCTCTATTTTTTTCATTATAAGGGATTAAATTTCGCTGTTTGTACTTTTCATTTTTAAACTGGGTCTTTATCTTCAGGGCCGGTTCAATGCTGGAGTGACAGACAAACTCATAAGCTTGGTGGCTTCCCATCCCTGTGTGTTCCCATGTTTGGTCAGGTTTGTATTTTCCCATGAGGACTGCTCTGTGGCCATCTCTCCTCATTGCTCAAGTGGACTCTGGTTTTGCCTGGTTAAAGGCTGTTCCTCAGAGGGGCTGGGCCTAACCGTATAAGATGGAGGGGTGTCTGAGTGCACAGGGAATCAAAGAGTGATAATTCTATCATGCTGATTGCGTTCAAAAGACAGATGCAAATGCTGAAGAGCTGGTGTTTCTTCATGTTACTCAACTAACTTGGCGAAGGATCATTTTTCCAATTTTTCCAACCCTATTCCCTCACGCAGCAATCGGGGAGTAAGGCTGCTTTTTTGAGGAGGCTGCCTCTCTTCAATCAATGCTACCTGGTTTGGGGGAAAGACTGGGACGTTACTTTTACCAAGCAAACTCCCTCATCCTTCAAGCCTCAATTCAAAGACTTCTTTCTCTGATTATCTCGTAATTTCATACACACATTTCTAATCTAGCCCTAACACCACCGCATTGTCACTTATCTGTCTCCTTCACTAGACCCTGAGCTATGTGAAGATGGGGCTGCACTACTCACCTTTGCAAATCTGGTACCACCTGCATGTCTACTACCTGGCACATAGTAGAGACTTAAGAACATGTTCATGAAAACAAACATGTATGAACGAAAGAATAAAGTGGGAGTATAAATGAACCTAAAGTTAAAGGCCAGGCAATTTTTATTTTTATGTCAGGTCCCCTGTTCTTCCATTTACACTGTAACTTCAATCGTAGGAAGGTGGATTTGCTATCAAGATTCCAGAGGGGGGAAAATTGTAGAATGACTGAATTCAACCTGACAAGTATGCCTTAAGTCCTGGATCTCATATGGAAATTCAAGAAGTAACTCCAAGTCCCCTGCCTTTTAGATACTCACTTATGCATATGATTTAATATCCACTGGGGCACTAAAAGAAAATATAATTCATTTCCTTGCACTGACCTTTTGCCTGATTCTATAAACACAGTCAGGATATAACTCTTATAAATGGGAAACAAGGCAGTGGAGGGGCAGGTGAGAGAAAGCAAAAGAAGATACAACAAAGAGAGGTTACGTTTCAGTGTGCTAGAACACTAGTATATGAGTATAAACATATAGCTTACAGAGCTTTTAAATATCTGGAAATGGAAACATTCATCTTTCTCCATGTACCTTCTTCTTCTAGGGGTCAAAGATAAAAAGATGTTGCTCTTAGAATACTAATGGTTTTCAACACCCTGCTCTTTTAGTTGTGTGAATTTCCTTGTTTATTTACACTGATTTTAGCCCATTATCATGTATTAGTGCAATTATGGCTCATTACATAATTAGTGTAAATATTTGTAGGCATGTAATAACAACATGCAATTATGATATGGAGTGATGTCATAAAAGGTCTTATTGAAAAGGGAAAGTAAAAAAATAAAATAAATAGCATTTATAGGAGAACAGTAGTTACATACCTTTAGGTATAGAGAATCTATTTTACTCTTTAACTTTAAAAAACATATTTTAAAGGTATTCTGAATACAGACAGACAGACCCTCAGACTATTGAACATTGAGGTTTTTAAGTGCTACCAGCAGCAATCTTTCCAAATGAAGGGAGGGTGAATCTTGAACAATGCCATGAGTGTCTGAGATTACAGAAAAGCAGGGACTCCCCACTAGTAAACATATTCTTTATTGATTTGGTGTTTGGAAGTTGGACAAACGTTATGATTAAAACATGATTCATTAAAGTCTGTGTTGGTATGGCCAACAAGCAATTCTGCAAAGGGACTCCTGACCAGATAATCAGTTTTTTGAAGTCAGAGTAATGTCTTCACCCTCTAGCAAAGTACTGAACACACAGTAAGCATTCATAAAGGTTTGCTGAATGAACGAGTGGATGCATCCTATAATTTGTCTGGCCATATGGCTCCAGCGAAATAAAAAAGTGGCTTTATTCCAACTCATTTTATTGAGTAACATGTTAGGTGTTAATAAGTCTGCAGATTTGGAGAGTCATTCCTATTGACTTCTCTGTAAAATTTCAGCACTATTACAGGCCTAAGAAACTTTAAAAATCTCAATTAGAGAGGCTAGGTGACATCTGATGAAGTTAAATAACATAGTCAGCAAAGATCTAGAGTACCTAACAAATGTTGGGGAATGACTGGTAAGCACACTGAAAAGTAAGAAATCATATTAACTTAAAACTCAAAGTTAATTTTGTCCTATACGTATCAGTTTCTTCCCATGAAGAGAAATCCATTTGAAACACAAACAAGAAACCCTTTCAAAATTAAACACCAGTTCCCCCTACTCTCTCCAAACTCTGGTGATAAAGGGTGAACTGCTTTATCAAACACGATTCTTGGAATAATAATTATTTTTTTCTGTTAAAGAAAAACAAATCTGAATTATAACCTCATGTTACAGCTTCATAAATATATTTTTAATAATTTGAGAATTTTAATAAAACTAGTTTGTTTTATACCCATTCTCTCTACACCCCCAAGCAACAGTGACTACTGAATATATATTTTAGAGTCTTTCTGAGGAAAACCTGAAGTTATTTAACTTTCTGCAGCTTCCTGTAACATATCTGGTCCACTCTGAGGGAGTCCCAAGGGAATAATTAATAGCTACAGAACCACTCATTCATGAACATGGAAGAAGGGAAAAATACTGAATTTCATCATCCTGTAAAATATTTAATATCCTGTTTCTTGTGACCAGTGTCCAGGGGCTTTGGGCTTTCCACTAGAATATTTTCTAGCCAGTTGAATCAAATAATCATGTCCTAGGCCTTTTAGAAACTTTGAAAAGATGGACTGCTCTGCATAATCTTTTTTCTTAGGGTAATGACTGGGTTTAAAAAAACCTTTAAAAGAAACGATCTGGGGCTCCCCTGGTGGCGCAGTGGTTGAGAGTCCGCCTACTGATGCAGGGGACACGGGTTCGTGCCCCAGTCCGGGAAGATCCCACATGCTGCGGAGCGGCTGGGCCCATGAGCCATGTCAGCTGAGCCTGCGCGTCCGGAGCCTGTGCTCCGCAACGGGAGAGGCCACAACAGTGAGAGGCCCGCGTACCACACACACAAAAAAAGTCACCTACTGGTCACCCTGCAGTCTTAATGTTGTCCCTGTGTAGGGAATTCAGGCTGCTCAGCATCCCCTAGATTCATGAGCTCTGTTGGTCCCACTGGTAGCACATTTAATAGCAGGTTAAAGGGATGATGAGTAGATACACGATTTTGCCTTCGTCAGACGTAAGTGTTTATCCAGGGAAGGTACAGGTTTAATTTGCTAGCAGCTTATCCATTCCAAGTCGACCACTTCAAAGAGGTGTATAAAACCAACCGAGTAGATTGTTTGCTTAATGGGCAGATAAAGGCCTTGGGCAAAGAATTATACATGATACACACCAATGGGGACAGACTTTTTCTTCTGGATGTAATGTTCCATCATTCCAGAACGAAGCAACAAGTTCTCAGTAAGCTGGAAGTCAAGATCTACAGACCACCCTCCTCAATGCTTTGCAGAGCAAACGCATACACACAACATCCTCAGGGTGTAGCATTTGCAGAGCTTGGTATTCTCCAAGACGTCTTTAAACAATGTCATCTGTATCTGGGCCTTCCTAATTCCGACATACAAAATTTCATTTTTACATGCTTGATAGAAGAAAGAGCTCTAGCTACCTGTGAACAGTGCGGCTCTTATGAGGAGACAGCATTTAGGGAAAAAAATGTATCCATCTGAATTTCAAACCTTTTGCTGATGTTAATAACTACTTCATATTGACTCTTTTTCGTTAGAAGAGGCTTCACCAAAAAAAAAAAAAAAAAAAAAGCCTTAAGGGAACTCCTGGCACTATGTTTGACCAAAAGGGAATGCAAAAGTTTCAGAGTCATCCAAATCTGATCAACTTTTCACCCTGGGTTCTGTTTACAGACTCTTCAGCTCACATTGTTGGAATGAGACAAATATAGCCAATTTTGCTTTGATCTGGAGTCAGTTTGGCTTTCCAATCCTGGCACAATGGTGACATTTAAGAGGCAAGGGGATAAAATTATTTTCATTCCAGCCTTTTAAGCATGGTGAAGAGTTATAAAACAGCTCTGGACAAATATGAAGCTGGACCTAAACGAGCCATTTCTTTTTTATAAAAGTTCTTTTTCTTACATTGCTGGGTATGTCCAGAAGTATAAATAGTTAAGCACATCCATTCCCCTCATTACTTTTATTTTTAAAGGCAAGGACTGATTTGATGGCACTTGGAGAACAATGGGAAAGGAAGACTTACTACAAGGTACTGATACAACCCAAACCAGGGTGAACTGGGTCTTGTAAACAAGTCTCTGTCACTTTCCAAAAAAGATCACGGGATAACTTTGAAAACAATGTCAGGCTCACAGAAAACAAAACAAACCCTCGTGTATATATCTATTTACTCACCACTCAATAGTAAGTTGTCTGAGTCACCCCCATTCCTGCTGCCTCACCTGTGAGCCCAGGCTCTTTGTCTGACAGCTGAGAGCAGTTAGAAGAAAGAAGGGAATTGAGGGCGAGCCTATAAATTAATCATTGAAGAGCCTCATCCATTTCAGGACAAAAGATCTCCTTCCTCCGCACCAGCCCCTCTTTCCGTGTCTACCCCTCTTAGAGGAAACTAAGGGGAAGAGAAGGAGAATCAAGGAATTGGAAGGGACTTTGATGGCAGACAGGCAAAGCCCGCGGCCTGTGAGATTGCCCACAGACACATACCTATAGACACAAGCTTGTGTGGGCTATCATCACAAGTTCGGATCTACGGGTTTGTGGCAACAGGCCTTAGTATCTCTCTCGTGTGGGTGTCTGACATGTCTGAAAATGAAACGTTAACACCATTAGTCCAACCGAAGGTTCTGCCATTCTATCATTTCACGCCAGAAACGGGAAGACTTCATCCCACTCTTAAAAGGGCAAAAGTTAAGCAGCATCTTCTAGGTTCTCCCCCACATACTTCCCTGTTTTCACTTATTCCACAGACACAATGGGCTTCAGGTAAACCTCATCATTTTACTGTTTAATATTACAGAAGACTCATTTATTCAGGCCTTAACACACACACGGAGCATAGTGATGGCAAATGAGCAGAATAAAGAAAAGTCTTTCAGTTGTAGGGAGAGAAAGAGAGAAACACTGGAGAACCCAAGTGCAAGTTCATTCTTTTAAATACCTGTAATTACATGAAAAAAAGATGGTGAATTTTTCCTTTTTTATTTGCGTTCTGGCAAACAGCTGTAATAAACTAGCAAGCACCGCCTATGGGCTTGTTAGTATTTCCTGAAAATTATTCTAGAGATTTCCAGTTACATTAAATTGGAAGATTCATCATGAGGAAAAGTTTGTATTTCACCCTCACTCCGCCCCTGTTATTGGTCCAAACACCAACAATGAGCAAGTCTGGGCATATTTTATAAAATCTGAACCAGAAAAGAAATTGTATAGTTGCTCCCCTCAAAACTGTCCCAGGTTGTGGGAATGACTCTATTTCTAAGGATTTCTCATAAAAGGATTTTGTTTGTCAGCGTAACATCCTTTCTTCATAATCAGTGTTCTACAAGTAAAGGAGTAGCCAAGACAATGTACTTTCATTAATGGCTCCTTTTGTGAATTTTATTGAGGACAGAGTCTGAAGCGTGAGTACTTCAAAGACAAATGATGGAAAGCAAAATCATCCATCTCCCTAGATGTGGGGAAAAACATATGCCTCCATCTCTTTGTAGGATCTAAAAAGAGACCTTTTCAACTTTTGTTAGCAATGACCGTAGATGCTGGTTCTCAAAAAAAAAAAAGATCTTTGCCGTGACAGAGGAACATTCATTCCTACCTCAAGAATCTGGGAGGCTCTCCTAATAACAAAAAAACACAGCTGAATTTGAGAATTATTCAGAGAAAAGAGCAGGCCCCGACGTATACAACTTAAAAGGTGGAAGCGAGAGAACAGGAAACCAACAGTGGGACAAACAGGGAAGAGGAGGCAATGGTTCATAGACACTTCATTGTCTGCCTGTTTAATCACGATGGAGCCACAAGCATCACTGCTCAGAGTTCACTGGTGCTGTGAAGGTTGCCAAGACCGAGAATTTCGTTGCAGCTCCGTGGCTGGACTTTTAGATTCAAAGAAACAACAATCCCAAGTGGAAGCAAGGAGGATCCAAACCAGTTACCTCAAAATGGTTTGGACTTTCTGTTATTTTAAAATGTTCATTTCCTTTATAGAACAAAAGGTTTTAAAATAAACTCCAAGCCTCTTATTTTTCTTTGATCTCCCTGACAAGGTCATAGGGCCAGAGGTATTTGAGGATGGGCACTTTGCACACTGTTAAGGATGGCTGGAATGTGTGTGACATAGGAGCTCTTATTAATGTATAAAGGAATAGGCTCAGGCTCCCAAAGTGACCAGAACTGTTGTTATCATTTATTAAAAAGACAGGATGCAATATTCGTTAGCAACGGATGAAGATCTGTCAGAGTGTTACACTGAATCATTCAAGAAGCATCACCTTTGTAAATCTGCACCCTCCAAGTCCATAAAAAGGAGCTCAATGCCGTGTTTCAATTGGGGGCTTCTCTGTGTCTTTTTGTGTGTGTGTGTGTGTGGAAAATACAGGACAGAGAAAAGTTATTCATTCTGAAGGGTTTGTAGTGTTAATTTCCAAACAATCCAGAGTTTTAATTTTAGAAAATAACAGAGAAATCAGAAGATGCCCAGGTGGCAGAGAAAAGAGAAAGTTAAGATACCGACCTAGTAGAAGAATGGTTTATTTGGGAATAGACATTTTCCCCAAATATCAATTGAATACCTCCTTCAAGAACCATCTTTGTGTTGAGTAGAATAATAAGGGTTCTTTTCAGAGTAAAGTTTGTCCTGCTTTCTTAAGCAAGATTCTGTGGGGCTACCTTAGATAGTAACACTAATAATTAACTTGGAAAATGTAGGCAAATACCTATAAACAATGGCAAAAGTAGGGTAAGGTAATTTATCAAGCAAATATATCATTTGTGTTATTAAACATATTTACGTACCACAAAGTCCTCCAATAACACTGAAAGGAAGCTACTTATATCACGATAGCTGAGCTCAAATCCTAGTCACTGGACCTGTGTAAGCATAGTTGTATAAAATATGTCTACATACTGTATGTAGTACTAATCTAGGACTAAAGTTAAAACATCAACTATTATGCCATTATTATGTTATAAAGCACCAGTTATTATGCAGCTTCTATAAGCCATATCTTCCAGGAATTCAGAGCACATGTTAGGCTTTTTAGAGATAATCCTCTAATACTTATATTTCTAAGTACAATCACTAAAGATAGCCACAGAGTTTAAGAACGGCGCCTGATGGTGTCAAATGAGGTTTGCCTAAATCGCTGTCAAAAGAAATAAGCACTGTTAAGCAATAACTTTCAAAATATTTTTCTGAGCTCCACAGAATTGAATAATCTGCTCGTTGGCTACAAATATTATAAAACTGGCTGCTATTGTCAAAAAATAAGCTTAAAGTAGTTATTCTTCAAAATTAAATGATTCAAGCATGCCCTAAGAACTTGTAATACTTGAGGAAATGGAAGGTTTGGGGAAATTATAGGAAAATAGAATTACCTGAAAAAAGGAACTTCTTGTGAATCCTGTTTTTTTAAACCTGTTGCCATCTTGCTAGGCCAGCGTCTTCAAACCATTTGCCTGCGTCTGGAAAATAAAATTATTTTAAACGGATCAAGATTTTTTGCTTGGTTTGTGGTTGGTTTCTTTTCGTCACCCAACTCTTTTATAAAGCTGAACTAGAATTCATGCCAAAATGAAAGTAAAAAGGAACACACACAAAAAATCTGAAATAAAAGAAAAACACTGGGCAGCATTATGGTTTCTTCATTTCCAGAACTACACATGATAGAAAGGTTCTGCAAATAAGTCACTTTCACATTTTTCCTGGAATTTCCCTGGCTACCGATGACTCTTGAGAACGATTTTACCAGAAAAGTGATCAAATAGGAATGCGACGTCTCGGAATCCTCCCAAATTCCAATGTTTTATATCAAACCGCTCATTCGCTAAACATGATTAAGAGATAGGCTATCAATAATTAAGCAGGGTTAAGGTATAATCAAGTTGGGCAATCATTACCTGGCATGATGTAGCATCACTGAGACACTGTTTTAATTTTTTGATTCAGAAATGATTCGGGAGTCATTATTTCTCTCTGCTGATGGGGCCGCTAAAATAGAAGTAAAATATCTGATTGTGGTGGATTCAGGAGTCTGTCCCCCTCCACCCCAGCGGGCTTCTTGGCTTCCATTCCAGCGGTCTTTCATTGGCCAGGTTTTAGATGCAGGGTTTGCTTTTCCTTCATTGTTCCTTTACTAGTGGAAGGAAAACTCACTGTGCAGCTGCTCGCAAAAGGGAAAATGTACTTGAGTTTTGCCTGGCTGTGGACTTGAACACCAAATCCACCGTGATGTCAGCAGAACGACACCGACAGACAGATCCCCTGCCCTTCCACCCTCCTTCTCTTTAAAAGAGGTATCCCTTGTACAGAATCTCAGCACACCTCCTTTGTCCTGGGGGGAAAGAGCAATTCAACTGAACAACCTGTTATGAAAGAAAGAGAAAGAAAGAGAGAAGGAGAGGGAGGGAGGAGAAAGAGACAAAGAGACAGAGAGAGAAAAAGGAGAGAGAATTAAACAGAAAGTGAGAGATGGAGAGAGAGGAAGGAAAGAAGGAAGGGAGGGAGGGAGGGAGGGAAGGAAGGAGGGAGGACAGGAGGAAGGAAGAAAGAGAAGGAGGAAGGGCAGGCAGAAGGGCGGGGGGGGCGGCAGAGAGAGAGGGAGAGAGAGAGACAGAGACAGAGACACAGAGACAGAGAGAGAGAGAAAGGAAGAAAGGAGGAAAGAGACAGAGGGAGAACTCAAATCTATCCCTGGCATTAACCCGACATCGCGAAGCAGGAGAAACAGCTAGTATTGGTCTCCCTATGGCTTTCCAGTTCTCCTGATGTCTTTTCTCTCACCCTCTGCAGCCCCTGCTCTTTGTAGAAAGATCCAATCACCTCAACAAAAGAGGCACATCCAGCAAGTGCTCCTCCAAGAGTAATTCACGGGTGCCACGCATCACAGCACATTTTCTCCACCTGCGACCTGGCCCCCAGGACACCAGCCTCCAGGGTGCGAGTGTCCCTCAAGCACCCTGTGCAGACAGACAGAGGCTTCCGGCACCAGAGCCAGCTAGCTTAGGTAGAAGGAATTCTTCTCTCCCCAGGAAAAACTGACCAGAAGGGAGCAGGGGAGGGAGGAGACTGGCAAAGCAACGCCATGGTTTTCACGTTCCTTTCGGGCAGAGGGAAAATTAGGAACCTATATTTATAACCTTCCTACTACATACTCCCTGTATTAAAAAAATAAATAAATATTTTACGTCAAATGAAAAATGGAAGTGTGGCTAGGTCGGCTAAAGAACAAAGACATGAAAAATGGCGTGATAGAATAAAATAGATTGGATGAAAACAAAAGATGCCCTCATAATTTGAGTAGTGTGCTTTTTTGGGGAGGGGGTAATTTAAAAACGGTCTTAAACCCACCAAGTGTTCACTTACAACAGATGTATAACAGGGACCGACTATTTAAGAGTGAGAAGTTGGAGGCAAATTTGCTTTTGACACACCCGAGGAAACAAAAGAGAGAGGGGCTGCCAGTAACAAGTTGTTTCGTGTGCAACTGGCTAAGGAGGTCGCTTTCACTTTTGAAAGCGTTAAGTTTGCTCAGGATGACAATTTTTCTTGCTTTTTAAAATACAAGCAAGGGTGCCAGCCTGCAAATTCCTTTCTAGCTATATTGTTAATAAAGCCAAAAAGGCTTTTACGAGAATTAAAATTTTAAAAAACACAGAAGACCCTGATTCTGGTATGGAAACACGAGACACATGTTTTTAAAAAATCGGATGTCTGTCATTTCTTGAATATAAACGAATTACATGCGGCACAAAGCTTTCTACATGCCAGGCAACTTTAACACTTTTATGTTCAAAGCTATGTTTTGCTCTTGTTCTACCACAATTGGATTAGAAAGCTACAAATGAAGTGAGGGTACAGGGTGGCTAGGGGGAATATTGAGGATTAAATCACTTGGATCCTGCAGGAAAGGAGATATGCAATAGGTAAAGAGTCTGTATTTCCTTGGAACCTTGGCTGTGTAACAAGGGGATTCTTGTTCTGGGAAAAGTACAAAAAAGCCTGGAGCCTCCACAATGATACTTACAAAAAGAACCACCCATCAAACACAAGAAGCTAAGTTCAGCTGAAACAGAGACCTTTTGCCTTACTCCAGGGTAGAGGTTCACCCAGGGAGAGCCTGCCAACCCTCTCTCTGCGTTTCACTCCAGGAGAGCTTAGTTTGTCTCATCCAGGGCTCTCCACATCTACTGATTTCCACATTTCCCCCTTCCTCTGGAACAACAAAAATCAACCAAATGGAATATGATTTTATAAAGTCTCCGTCAAGTTGAAGTTTGGAAAGAAAAAACAGGTATGAATCTATATTACCTACTACTTCTTGCTCTCAACTTTTCCCAAAATCGATCTGGTTTTGCCTTCCAGCCCTCTACACACCCCCAACACACTCTTTCTCTCTCCTCCAAGCCTCTCTCTCTCTCTCCCACCCTCCCTCCTTCTTCTGCTTCTCTCTCTTTCACACACACACACACACGCACACGCGCACACACACACACACACACACACTGCCGCTTGGTCCAATCTGGTGCCTACTTAACACCAACAGAATGACAAGCAACATCTGTTTGTAAAGAAGCCAGAATCAAACCTTAACGGTTTTTTGGCTAGGTTTCTTTTTTTCCTTTTTCCCCTGACTAAAAGGGGAGGGGGCAAGAAGAAGAAATATTAAGATTTATATTCAACATCGGCTCCAACGAGGCAGCAACTGTACTTCCCTAGAGTTATTTCCAGGTACAGCAATTGTAGGGAAAACCACTGCAGTATTTACGGCTGTCTCCCCTGAAGCAAGCCCAGTCACATAAAATCCAACGTATCAGATTCCTAAGAGTCAGGTTTTTTTCTAAAAGCTTTATATTCATCTTCTAATTAGAATTACAGGACCGCGCGTGTGTGTGTGTGTGTGTGTGTGCGTGTGCGTGTGTGTGTGTGTGTGTGTCAGGAGGTGATGAAAGACAGAAAGGGAAACGAGCAAGACAGAAAAATAAAAGACACAGTTGAGAGGAAAGGAGCTATGCTGTTTCTCCCTTATTTTACAACACGCTGGCGTGTAAACAGGCACCTTTCCGCAGATGCCACACACGAAAGCAGGCACCAGCAGCGGGAGGCTGTGGCAGAAACCTGCACAGCTGTGGCCATCAGAAACAGGTCCCATCATCCCCCACGGGGATGGGAATTTCTGGAAAGCCACCAACTGTCCACAGAGTCACAACGCAAAGGATCAGAGCTACCTAGATGGGGGAGGGGAGGGGTGGGCAGGCGCTGGTAAGGGGGAGAAAGGCTCCCTCACCAACTCAAGGATTCCGCCCTCAGGGAAGAGAAAGAGGGGACTCAGAAACTCCACTCCCCTTTCACTCTGCGTTTGGAAGAAACCCACACACATTAAGGGAAAAATAAATTCAGACAAGTTGCTAAGGAGACTTGTGTAAACTCCAAGCACAGACATATTTCTTGGCCTTTCCCCCTGTGCTTCATCTTGTATTCTGAGCACGCTGCTCTGCGGCAACGTTGCACCAACCTTCTGCATTAAGCCTGGCCTTCACCGTGCAGACTGGCAAAGCATGCTGGTTGTATATATTATCCTTCAAACTTCACAAGTGAAAAGGGTGCGCGCGCGCGTGTGTATGTCTAGTTGGAGGGAGAGAGTGGGTGGGGAAACTTAATTTGGAATTTTAAAAACATAGGTGTTGAACAAAGAAGAATATTTAGACGGTGTGTTTTGGGGGCAGTGGGGAAAGGGGCAGGTAAAGCACTGGAAATTTCCCTTTGCCTGTGGGTTCCATCCTTTCGCCACTCTGCTGGCCTTTTCCCCCCTCCCATATCTCCGGTTAAAATCCTGTATCCCTGGGCAGAGGTAAGCAGCGCCTGCATCACTGCAGACGCCCAGGAGGGGCCCAGGCTTCTGCAGAAAAGAGTGTGCCGCACAGAGTGGGACCCTGGCTCCCTGCTTCCCTGCTCAGGAGGGTGTCCCAGAGAGATCAGCTTTTTGAAAACTAACTGCAACGATTCATAAAACCTCTGAACCAAACCTGTTTAGATTCTAAACCAGCTAGCATTTCAGAGGACAGACCCCGGCCCGATATCCATGCTCTGGAGCAGAGACCTTCTCCCATAGTGACACATCTTCGGCAGCGGCCAATATATGTCAACATTTGATTTAGGGAAAAATTAACATTTTCTTTCAGGACAGAGATGTTTGTACTGTAGAAGCCAATATTTTCCTTTCTCAGCCTCGTGTATTAGAATTTCTAAAATCTTCTCTAGGACACAGAAGGGGGAGATAATAAATAGCCAAAATCATTGCTCAGGGTGCTGGGACAAGTCAGTCAAGTCTGTGTGTGTGTGTGTGTGTGTGTGTGTGTGCATGCGTCTGTCCCTGCCTCACTGTCATGAGCAGATTAGGAAGACACACACCAGAGAGCTGGAAGGGGACAGCTACGGGTCCCTTCCCAAATCAGAGAAATTCACA